ACAACATTTCCTCACAGGTCAAACAGAAATTAAAACATCAAGTGGCTGTTTATCAGTTTATTGAAACAAGCTGCCATGGGTCATCCAAAGCAACAGACAGTCCAAGAGCTCTCACATCGGCCTAGATACCCTGTCCTGCGCCTGTCTGTCCGTCCCGCACAGTAGATCTAATTGCGACCGGGAGGACAAGTCAGCCGGGGTTCTCCACTGCCTGATGTCTGCAGCATCCCGTCACGCCATAGGCTCGGAAACGTCTGTTTGCTGATCGTGTCGCACCATCCGCTCCGAGAGCCTGCAGACATTTACCAAAATCATACCCTTTAAGTTGATTCAGGGAAACATTTTTTGAAACATTTTTTTCCTTAGTTTCTTTTCACTCTTTTTTTATTTATTTATTTATTTATTTATTTATTTATTTATTTATTTATTTATTTATTTTTTATTTTTTTTTTGGGGGGGGGTCATTTAAAAGACCAACAACAACAAACTATGCCTTTATGACATAGAATCTAGCCGCTGTTTTTAAGAAAGAGGGAAGAGCACTTTGTACCACGACAGGACACATTTTCGCGGAAATATTAGAAGACGACGAGGGTAGAATCTACATGATAAACGAGTTTAATTCGGGATGCGAAAGTCGGACATCATAACCATTGGCTATACTATTCGTAGCTAACCAAGTGACTGGCGGATTATGCGTAATCACGCCAGCTCAACAACTCCAGAGGAAAAAAAAAGATACAATGTAATTTGTTTTAGTACTTGCAACACTGCCGTAAGGTCATATCATAAATGTTGAAGATTAGAGATGTTACGAGAGATTAACAAATGTCTCATGCTGAAAAAGACCCCCGTTCTCTCTGCTTGGGCACAAGAAAACAACATTTGCCATTTAAACAACATTGAGAAAAAAATCCATTTGCTCTCTAACACCTGGGGACACAGCCTAAAATTGCAACCAAAAAAAAACAACAACATGTGAAAGCAGCAGTCCGCCAAAACTTCTTCAGTGTACGCACAGTTAACGCTTGGAATTCCCTACCGGAAAATGTGGTGTCTGCACCATTCTTGATGAATGCTTTCAAGAATAGGATTGACATGGTCTGGAAGGCACATAAATTCTCCATGAACCTAGATCTAGATCTAGATTGATTTCAAAATGCCAGATCCATGAGCCATGAGCACCAACCTACAGATAACAGAGTGTGAAAACAACGAGCAGGAAGGAACAAGCAATGAAAGCAACGAACGGCTGATAGACGACTACATCTAGATTCTAGATAGATCTAGCCTGACCACAGCCGTACTTCAAACTAAACTAAACTAAACTATAAAAAGGAGAAGAGATAACGGCAATGGATGTCCTTTGATAGGAAAGTAGGAAAGAAGGAGCAAACTACAAGAGAGCGCCCGCCAACCACCCATTAAAAACAAATGTCACAGTCAATATGTTCTTGATCAACCGTCTGTTGTTTTCTTGTGCCCAAGCAGAGAGAACGGGTGTCTTTTTCAGCATGATTGAGTAGGCCTATAGTAGATCTAATTCTTCCAGGATGAGCCAGACTAGAATCTAGAACGAAACAAATTCCCCAAGTCTACTAATCCCCGACTCAGACCTTCAAAACTTTGAACTGGGCCTAAAAATGCGCAAACTACCGTAATTTTGTCATGAACAGATGGTATAACAGTGGTCTTCCATTGTGATTTTGGAAGCCAGTGAGTAAAATCTTGATTAGATAGATCTAGATCTAGATTCTAGATCATGTTCTAAAGTGGTCGCTCGTTACGGAAAAGGGAATAAAATCAATTGAAGAATTTAACGTGCTAAAAGTATAAGATCACCAATAAATCTACAGGTAGATATCTAGACTCTAGATCTAGATCTAGTCTAGAATCTAGATCTAGATTCTAGATCAAATGCAAAACAAGCGACAAAGCGTTTAAAGGTAACACTTACGAAGATCAGCTACGAGCTCATTGCTTCTTGCAAGGTGGCAGGAGGGGTGGTGGACACGGACAGGCGATAGGCTCAGGTTCGGGTTCCGGAGTAGGCGGCGTCTTTGGTCTTCTCGGTGGGCATGGTGCTGGCAAAGGTGGTGGGCAGGGCCTGTCTCCCCACTGGGAAGACGTCGTCTCTGGTTTCTTTCCTTTTTGGCCCTGTTTTTTACTGGACCCAGCAGCAGTTTTACTGGAGCCCTTTCCCTTGGCTTTGGCGTCCTTTGGCGGCATGTTGAAAAATTGGGTTTACCCGACCTTTAGCCCGACCTGTTGCAGCTTGTCTCACGTTTGTAGGTCTACGAATGAAAGTTTGTTTGTGTGTAGCAACGCCTGTTTCCAAGCAAGTTCGTAATACCCAAAAGACAGTGATGTAAGATATTTGTGGTCTGTATGCATTTTGGTGAAGAGATTAAAATGTGTGCTCATAAATAGGCCTAGGCAAGCCTAGCCTAGGCCTAATTATCGCGACTGAAAAGACAAAATCTTTTGACAATGATGGGAAAAAATGTTCTCCTTTTAGGCCTAGATCAAAGAGGCTATAATAATTTTAGAGGTCGCAGCTGTGACGTCACCCCACGTAAATTCACATTGGCAGTGCGGGCCCACTCAGCTCACTTTGTCGCCATTTTTTAGAGGATTAGAAACAGCGCTGTCACGCTGGGCGTCCCTCGCAAAGCCAAGAACTTCACAGAGTTAGAAGCTCAGTTCAGTTTTATTTTACCTTTCCTTTTTTGTGCTGTTGTTGTTTAATCATAGATATATAACATACACGCATACACAATATCGTACCTGCTGACCGATTGTTAGAAACATATATATGCACTTAAATGTGGGCTACAAATGAACAGAGGAACATAATATGAGGTATTGTTTGTTTTTCCCGGGTGGGGTGGGGGAGGGGCGGAGGGAGACAAAGTGAGTACGGTAATTGAATTTGTTAAGAAAAAGAACGACTTCATACTTACAAAACGAATTACTTTTATGTCATGTTGTCTACACTCTCCTTCTACTGATGCAAAGCCTCAGTTTTCATAGAGTATGAAGGGGATTAAGACTGGGTTAATTATTTAATTATATTAATTCATTATTGTCTCAAAATGAGCATTTATTTTAGGCTGGGATACTGTGAATCACTCATTGTATGGATCTTGTACGCATAGCCAAAAAGCGTTGTTTAATGTCGGGCATAAATAATGATATACTGACAACATTTTAAAATGCAACACTTAGATAAATAACCGGTTTATCTTAAACGTTCACTATATTTTCTAAAATTGGCGTTGATTGGCAATGGTGTTTGGCTACACAACACACCATCTTCCATGAACCACTGCTGCTGCTACTGTTGCACATGTTTGGCATCGGTTCCGCAAATGAGACAGAATATCACGTCGGTCTTATTGGTAGGTAGTTACGCCTGGTTGGCTATTCTCTCATCTCAACAACATCGACAGTGGTTCTTTTCCATTCAGCTAGCCCTGAAGGTACCGGTATGTTAGAGTTGCAGCTGAAGCTTCTAGCAGCTTCTCAGCACATTCCTGATTACAGAGGGTCGATACGAGCGCCTTGTTGTGGTTATCGGTGCTAAATCTAGACATACTGTTTGAGCGACGAAGAGCAAAAGATTGCAATAAAATTATATTTTATTTTTCAACAAGTGATGATCAAGTTCATCTTATTCTTTTTTTCTGAATTTTACTGACTCATGTGGTCACACCGTGTAAAATGCTAAATTTGCATTATTTGGAGATTATCAGGCTCATTTAAAGGTAAACAATCACCAAAATCCTTATGAGAACATTTTAACGAAAGAAGGCAACTTACATGATATGAAAAAGAAATCAACATGGAAATTTCACAGAATATCATTAATCCATGATTGAAAAGCGTTGCATGGCACCGACTGGCCTCTTAAAATACTCTTATTCTTCTCCGGAATGGCGGCCCGCCCCTCCTGTTTGGCACTCATGACGTCACAGCTAAGACCTTTAGTTCTATTTATAACCTCTCTGAGGAAGTGAGTAATTGAATTTATTACGAAAAGGGACAATTTCATACTTACAAAATGGATTGCTTTTGTGTCATGTTGTCCACACTCTCCTTATACTGATGCAAAACCTAGGTCTTCACAGAGTATGAAAGGGGTTAAGACTGGGTTAATTATTTGATATTTATGCGTTATTGTCTCAAAATGTGCAATTAACTGTAGGCTGGGATACTGTAAATCACTCATAGTAGTGTGGATCTTGTGCGCATACCCAAAGAGCGTTGTTTAATGTCGGGCACAAATAATGATATACGGACAACATTTTTTTAATGCAACACTTAGATAAAGAGCCGGTTTATCTTAAACGATCGCCATGTTTTCTAGAATTGGCGTTGATTGGCAATGGTGTTTGGCTACACAACACCCCATCTTCCATGAACCCCTGCTGCTGCTGCTGTTGCACATGCTGTTTGGCGGCATCGGTTCCGCAAATGAGACAGATTATTACGTCTGTCTTATTGGTGGTTAGTTAGGCCTGGTTGGCTATTCTCTCACCTCAACAACATCAACAGTGGTTCTTTTCCATTCAGCTAGCCCTGAAGGTACCGGTATGTTAGAGTTGCAGCTGAAGCTTCTAGCAGCTTCTCAGTCACATTCCTGATTCCAGAGGGCCGATACGAGCGCCTAGTTGTGGTTATCGGTGCAGCAGACAAGCTGGCTGGAGAAGCAAAAGTGGGAGGGAATTTGACACTGGACCCACCGACCGTCCTAACCGCTGTAAGGGAGCGTTTGAGGAAAAATAGGGCGGATAGCGATTCCCACACTCAAGGTAGATCGAAGGAGAAGGGGATCCAAAGAGGAGAGGGGAAACACAGTCATCTGTGTGGACCAGTCTGACGGATCTCCAACCAGATTATGATGGAGACTATAAGCAGACAGACTCTGGGATGGATCCTGAAGAGGGGGGGAGAGCAGAGATGGACATGTTCCGACTGCAGTGACCCCAACACAGTGGACAAGTAAGACAAGTAAGTAATCACAAAAATCCCTATGAGTACATTTTAGCAATAGGGGCCAAGGCAAATCACATGAAAAAGAAATCAACATCAAAAGACTTCGCAGAGTATCATTAATCCGTGATTGAAAAATGTTGCTGTGCACCGACTGGCCTTTTATTTCTCTCCGGAATGGCGGCCCGCCCCTCCAGTTTGACACTCGTGACATCATAGCTAAGACCTGTAGTTCTATTTATAACCTCTTTGTTTTAGATCTAATTGTTACATTATTTTTTATCTTATTATTTGTTTGGTAAGTGTTGGACGGTGCTCGCAATTGCACAAGGTCATAAATAATATGAGCGCGCGGGACACATTTATTCTCATTAAACATTTTCAGTTGGTAGGAATTTTTTTTCATTTTGCATGGGAGGCGGCCGAAGCCTACTATTATCGATTTTGGACCACCAAAGGATCTTTAACGTGTGCAACTTGCGCACGGGACTTCCGAGATATTTGGCTCTGATCCGAGAAGGCTAGGGTAGAGATCTAGTTCTTACCTACCATAAGATCACGGATGTGGCAGAAAGATAGTAGTAGGAAGGAGCCAAGGAGTAGCAGAAGAGGCTGCAGAAAGGATGAGTCCAGAGGAGGGTACACAGGAGGTGAGGGGTGGTAGGCAGAAAATGGAGACGAAAGCTGACGACAGAACATTTTTAGAGAGCTGGAAAGGAGCGGAGGTGAAAGGATTTTTTTTTTTAGAGAAATCCGGGTTCGAACCCGGGACCTATTGAAAAATTATAATTTTATCGGGTGTTTCGGTACGGTCTTTCTACAGAGTTGTAACCCTCTCAGCCGAGAATTGATCCTGACAGGCAAAGTCGAATGCCTCCTATATGATTTAAATTGTGTTGTTGAGGGGCTTAAAACACTACATTGTGTGTGTGGGGGGGGGGGGGGGGGGCGCACAAGATAGCGAGATCGACCTGGTCAAGTTACAGGAACACTCACTTTACAATTAAGACACTTCGTCTTCATGGCATGGCAATTGAATAAGCCCGTAAGACCTAAGCCAAGACCTACATATGTATTTTTCTCACATAGGCGCCGAAGGTTTATAAAGTGACACAATAATAAGACTAAAGAACATTGGTGAGGCAGCGCGGTGGAATCAGGCTCTCGTCAATTTTTGAGCATGTAGAGTTATTGGTATCATCTTAAAGCTTGTTTACTTTTCTTTATTTAGATGAAAAAATATCCATTTATCTTATATTTTAAAAAATGTTATTCAACACAGTGAAAGTTGCAAAGTCACTGTGACTGGCCATGTCTTGCTCGTGTCTCTTTGAGTTTATTTATTTTTTCTTTTGCTGAGTCATGCCACATAACTTCGTTGGAAACAACAGAGATACCACTCTGTCCTCTGCTTCCAATACAACTTCACACACACACACACACACACACACACACACACACACACACACACACACACACACACACACACATACACACACACTTCTGTGTAGGTAAACAAAGGCTTTCATTAATTAGGCCTACGGACATTGTTTCTTCTACTACTTCTAGTTCTAGCTTGGTGGTTTTAGCCTACATTATTTTAGCCAACTGTTACGCTACGCCGCCCGCCGCCCGGACCTACAGTTAGAATTGTTCGAGTTGACCTGTCGTCGAGTAAACCGGTCAGTTAAATACACAGAATTCTTCACTAAGTGTAGAATTCTGTGGTTAAATAGGAGCAAGGTGTGTATCCACACGCAGAGTTAAGATATAGATCTAGTACATCGATTCTAATATATAAATTATATAAAAAAAATTAGAGCAATTAGTGTTTTTTACGAGTTAACATTTTCTTCCCGGCTGAAAAAAATCAAAGGGACGCGCCGTTCCTATTGCAAGCCCCAATAATTTTAATATTTAACATAATGTCTGATGTCGAACTGAAGCCAGCCAAACTGACATTGTCGCCTGCACAGTCCGAACCACTCCCATACACACCTTTCATTCTACCAATGATAGTACATAACAAGATGGTTCACTCAGCCAAAAAAGTGTCCGCAGGAAGTATGCTCTTTGCTTCAGATGGCGCTGCGGTCTGTTTTGAAGCTCTCTTTCGTTTTTCCAGAAGAAGAATAGGAATAGCACCTCCTTGCGTGCGCAGATCGACTGCTGTTCATCAGCAGTTCGGGTACGTTCAGTGCGTAGTTTTAGGGTTTTTAAAATTTTAATGACCTCTCGCCTTTCATTCTAAAGTCAAATTAAACGAAGAAAACCATCACCCTTTCCTCCGGAAAAGGTTTTTTGTCAGCGTAACCATTTTAAAAAAGCGTTCTTCCGAAATTGATCCCAAAACATGCTAGTTTCACTTTGATTTTTAAAAACTCAAGTAGGGTAACTCTGTTCGCAAAGTGCGCTTTTGTGAAGAGGGCGCCACCAAATTTTGAGGACACTTTTTTAATTGGCTCAAAGAGAGAAGTGGCCCATCTTGTTATGTACTATCATTGATTCTACCAACAGGGATCGATCGGCCTTTTCGAGTGAATCCGGCGAGTCTTACTGCTAGTGTGTAGCGGCCTTAACGTACAGACAAGGAACTTACTGCTGGCTCTGCTCTGAGTCAAGGTTGCGCAGTGTTCAGCCCAGTATCGATACAGATTATTTTGTCGCAACGCAAACGATTACCGTCAACCGTCACACCATTCGGCACTCGTCACTCACTCATCACTTGCCTCTCGACTCTACGCTCGTGCAGTTGTTTGGGCCGTAACAGTTTACAATACTAAAACACGAAGATGAGTTTGACACAGAAATCTTTTGCAGCAGGTAAATGTGGTTCTGATTTCTATTATATCTAGATCTAGATCTATAATGATTTTATTGCACTTTACTACGGCAACGGTTCTCTAGATGTTTCGCACAATATGAAATCAATTCATTAAATTAATTCATTTTTGTTGCTCCAGGCCAGGGCTTCGGGAAAACATCTCTATCTACTTATTATTGATTAGACTCTAGATCTAGATTCTCGTCTCTCTAGTCAGCTTGGCTTTTTTTTTTTTTAGATCAAAGCTACGACTAAGAAAGCCTAAAGCTCATAGCCATCTTCAGGATGCGCGTTTTATTCACATTTTGGATTCAGGTTATTCAAAGTTATTTAAGGTCTTGAGTAAGGGTAGGGTTAAGAAGAAGGCTTACTTTTAACCCTTATAATGCCTTATCTGCCCCTTCCCAACTGGCCCAATTTATATATATTACCTTTTATTTCATAATGTTAATCCCGAAAATATAAATGAATCGTGCACCTCTGGAAGATTGAAACTGTCTGTTTACTCATATATGCATAAAAACTTCAAGATGTTTCTATGCTGAGTCCTCTCGAGGGGCAATAATTTTTGGATGAATCCATGAACAGAGGTCTCTGGAGCCTGAGTTTCTATTTATTATTACTTCTAGGTGCCCTGTCTAGTACTCAAGTTGTTGGTTATGTTCTTGTGAAAATACTTCTCATACTAAAACTGTTTGGTCTCCTTCAATGGGTTTAGTCCCCCAATCAACCCCAGCCATGATAAAATTTAAGAGGTGGAGCCTCCAGTCTGTCTCCGATAGGACCAGGCCAAATGGGTTGAGAACCTCAGCAACTCTACAAACAACCAACCTGAGTTAGCGAAACCCAGTCTGAGATTTGAACCAGGGCATGACGTGTCTGTCCGCTCCGCAGTCCAGCATACCAAATGAACTAACGGAGTACCCTGATCTCAAAATAAAAATATTTACTTTTGGTGCTGAAATTAGTTTGCATGAAGTCAAAGACTTTCTTTTTAGCCCAATTGATAATGACAATGTTCACCAACCTTCTTTCTCTTTGTACTCCATAATTTTACAAGATCAGATCACATTGTTATAATTTTTCCTCAGGGTCAACCATGCCTCCTGTGACCCCTGGCAGACTGCGACTCTACAACATGCGATTTTGCCCTTTTGCACAGAGGACTCGGCTTGTGTTGGAACACAAAAATATCCCGTAGGTGCAGTATGAATGTTAGGAATGGAGTGGTTTGTGTATGCCCTATTAAAAAAATGCTGAGTTAAGTTTTACTATTCCAGGAAAGGATATTATATATATAAAATACATGTATAAGGAATGTATTAAGGCCTAGTCTTTCAGAGACTTAAGACATGATATACATTTTGTGATATTTTGTACTGTATTGTATATAGAACTCCTCTTGTGGAGTGAATGCAACCTAACGCACCTTATGGCTACAATTTGTTGGGTGTGTATTAGGTGAGGCTTAGAATTATATTTACATAACAAGATGGTAAACGTATTAATGAAAGTAGGTCGGGGAGGGGGGTGAGCTGAATGAGTTTATTTTGACTGCAAAACAGCAATCCCAAATTTTAAAACTGCTTCCCTGGAATAAATGAATGATCTTTTTGTTCTACATTAGAAAATTCAAAACCCTTTACATGTTAGCCAGCTTTTTATTTTTAAGTGCAACTTAGTTTTTTTTAACAATGTATGAGGGTACAAGTTTTAATTCCATGGGCATTCTTTTCAATGAATATAACTAGACTCTACGTACAATTTTTTATTTTAGATTTTTTTTCTGAAGGGTTGGAAGTGCTAGTGACATTAATTCTACTGTATCTCCTTTACCAATGAACAATCACAATGACTCAAATATCTGTTCATCTTTGGTGAAAGTGGATGAAACAGTTATTGTACAAGCTAACCCAGCAGTGTGCTGTTGGCTGGGTACAGGCTTAAAGACTTTTGGGTTACATGGAATCTATGTGCTTTGGAATGGACGGATATAAAAGCCTATAAGGTTAGGCTTCTTTTCTGGGGGGGGGGTAATTTTTTTCAATTTTTTGTTTCCGACTTTTAATAAAGAGGGACCCCTTTTAAGCTTTAAATGGATGCTCCTTTTTCCTTTTGATAGGTATGAAACTGTCAACATTAACCTCAAGAGTAAGCCAGACTGGTTTTTGGAGCGCAACCCTCTGGGTTTGGTCCCTGTTCTTGAACTAGATGACAAGATTATATACGAGTCCACGGCCACTTGTGACTGGCTGGACGATGTATACCCAGAGAACAAGCTTCAGCCCACAGACGCTTACACGAAAGCTTGGGATAGGATCCTCCTTGAATACTTTTCCAAGGTTTGTTACTTTAGACTTTTTAATTTTTTTTGCTGATGTATTGCTGTATCAATTTGGATTAAAACTTTTATTCACTACAGTCTCGGTGCTCACCAGAGGTGATGGAATAACAGTTAAAATGTAGTGAGAAGAGTTGCAGAAATGACAAATTTTGTTACTTGAACATAGTAAAAGTAACTTTTTAAATGTACAGTCAAATCTCGTTATATATTGCTACCCTTGGGATGTGCATGAAGTTAGCCCAACAGCGGAGCTGGCGGTTGGCGGTTCAACAGGGTTATCTGTTGTATAGCCCCGACTGCCCAACATCAAGGAACAGGATTTGCTTTGTGATCTGTGTTTGAAAAGTGTCTTTTGTTGGTGATATCCATGTATGGATATGTATTCAGAGCCAAGACTTGAGTCTTCTCTCTCTATCTCTGTGTCTTTCTTGTGGGAGAAATATTATCAGGTAATTTACATTAATTTCGAAAGGACTGTACGACTCAACCAGTTGGCATATAGCGATGTGAAGGAGTAAATACTATGTTTATATAGGCACCCCTTTTCATACACTAGTAAAAACTGGCAGTTTTTGGGGCTGGCGGTATAACGGGGGTGTGATACAACAAGGTTTGACTGTATTTCCAAAAATAAAAGTAATGCTGAGGTTAGAAGAATGGTTCAGTAAGGAGTGGGTGCATCACATAAAAGCTACTTAATAGAAAAGTCTTAAGTGTGATAAAAGGAAGGGCATAGGGAGTCGTGTAAGGTGCTTGATTAATTTAAGATAAAGTGGTTTTATCTGGAGCATTTGGTCAACTTCACTAATCGTAGGAGATAAGTGCTTGCTCTTGTGCACCCCCTATCTGCCCCTAACTCCCAAAGATAAATGTAAAAATATGCTAATTCTGAGATGCAGCAACAATGTACAAGATGAAAGAAGAATATCATAGAAATTTATTTTTACTGTATGATGTTTAAATACTGTCTTGAACCAAAAGAAACTACCAAGACTTACAAAGTTTATCAGTTTTGATTGCTGCTTTGTGAAGATAAAATATGCAAGTTCATGTCGTGCCACCATTGAACCAGAGAGGCTGCGATGTCTCAGTGGCACTGCTGATGAGATGGTGGACAATTATCCCCAAGCCTCCTCAGAGTAGGAAAGAGAGAGGATAGAGAAATACTACCAAGTGAATATCACATTTGGTGGCTTTTAAGGACAAGCGGGCTGACTCAGATTTCGGGGGTTTCCAGAAATCTTGACCTACTCCAAAAGTGGGCATTGCCCTACCTATAGGAGAAGTTTGGTTTAACACTTCGCCTCCTCAAGGCTCATATAGTAAAAACTCTTGCCCTCAAAGGCAAAGACTTTTTGGGGAAAATAAAAAAAAACTTGGTGGTAGACATCTCTGATCGGCGAGATGAGGCAGCAAAGTGTTAATTGGTGTGTATATTTGTTTTGTTATAAATAGAGAAAACTCTCCTTGTCTTTTAAAGAGACTGAACAAGGGGCAAAAACTTTACCTTCTATTTTCTCAAAACAGTATTTTTCAGGATAGCCTCTCTGTGTTTAAAAGCAACCATATATAAAAAACTTTTTGTTATCATGCATTGGATCTATCTGTTACCCCCACCCCTCTTTGGGGGGGGGGGGTTATGAGTCTAATACTTTAATAAAATAATTGTCTTTTTTCACAACAGATAACATCTAATGTGTATGCACTGCGTACTGCGACAGACAAGACCAAACACCTTGAACTGATACACAAGGCCTATGCATACTATGAAAATATTCTTGCTCAAAGAGGAGGTCCTTTCTTTGGAGGTAAAGAATTGATGGTCATAAAGATTTGATTTAGAACAAGTTATTTGAGAAAGGAACTTGATGCCCACATGACAACTCTGACAGACTAGGTAAAGGTTCACTATGTGCTGAGTCTAGGGTAGAGACTATCCACAAAGTTGTTTCTTTTGATGGCTGCAACTTACTGGGGGAAAATTCCATAATTTAGGAGGAAAAAAACCCCTCTAGAATTGTATTTCTTGTCGGTTTTTAAATCAAAATTGATTTATTGATTTGAGAGTTATTTTTCATTCAGGTAAATGTTTTCCATTATGACATTGTTAATATTTTTAGTCAAGACAGTAGAGCAAAAGTGGTATCATGACTGTCTCTGTTATAGTGGGCTGTTTACAAGTAAGATTATCAGTTTGTGACTCCTCTTGTTTATCTGGACAATAGATGGTGAGAAAAAAAAGAGATTATAATGGTTGTGTATTCATGTGGTACCGGTATATTAAATGAATTTAAATGAACTTTATCGCACAGGTGATTTTATTAAGTCACCCTGATAGGTCCTACTTCTTTTCTATCCTTCTTATTTCTATCTGTTTTTCTTGCTTTTCCCCGATACTAAATGATCATTATTGTGTCTATGTACTTCTCCTTACTCAAACTAAAACTTGAAAGACCTGCAGTATTGTGTCAATTCTAAAAAGATGTGCATATATTGTTGTCTGGCTTAAATGTAAGCTTTTAGTACTTCACCTAACTCCTTTGAATTATTCGATGTATTTTTTTTTCTTTTATTTAAAGAATGTTTTTTTAATTTGCATATATTGAACAGAATAAATCCAACCTGCTCTAACGGCCACCTGTATCATGTATAAAAAGAATAAGACAACCACCTGCAAACGGCCATTTCTCATTTCCCCCTTTGCATAAAAAAACCCCATAATGTCACTGTGTAAGATGTCTACTTTTGTGAGATAGCCACTTTTCTCTTCAATAATGGGTGGCAGTGCAGTCTCAGACAATTGATTGTTAACAGTACATCTGGTGCCTGTATGACTAGCTGTACATACTGTTAACTTTTAAAATTAAACTTTCAACCTCTTTAAATGTATATATGCTTGATGAGTAAAATAAGTGTTTCAAACAGGTATAGTGATTCTCCTCTGAGAAATGGAAATGTGGCTGGGATTCTGAGTGAGTGTAATTTCATGGAAGTCTTTGTTTAATTCTCCCCCTACTTCTACAGAAAGGCAACAAAACAACATGTTATCTTGCACAGAGCTTCGCCACCAATGATTCTTATGATAGTTGAAGGATGTAACCGCACATCCCAAGGTGGGATTTTTTTTTACTGTTCCTTGGTTGAGATTTTTGGGATTTGGCCTCCTTGCCAATTTGTGCACATTCCTATGAATCCCAAGGCTTATAGAACTACATGGTTAGGCAAGAGATGGCTTAATGGAAATCAAAGTTCAGTCCTATGTTGTCACAGATTCCATTTCATCTGTTTATTGTTTCCTTTTGCAGGGGCCAAGCCAGCCATGATAGATCTCTTGATGTGGCCACACATGGAGAGAGTTGTAGCTTTGATGAGCAAAACAGAACCTGATGCTATTGTTGACAGAGTCAAGTATCCCAATTTTGGGGCGAAATGGTACGACAGCATGTACTCGTTGCCAGCTGTGAAAGCCACAATGTTCGACGAAGCATCTCATTTACGTTTCTTCAAGAGTTACATGGAAGGAAACCCAGATTATGATTTTGGGTTGGAAGAGTAACTGAACAAAGGTGTTGAATCATTTCAAATACTTTAAAAAATGTTTTCATGGAGCTCTCCACTTACAGTCTCTGTGTTTTGTTACATTTATTTCTGAGTTGTCAAAATCTATCAATGAAATTTGTTGTTTTTGATTTTGTTGTCTTTAGTGTGAGCTCGTCAGTCCCTAAAAGACATTGCAGTGACGTTTTTTGCCAGTGATCCAGAAGCTTTAATTAATGTTTTGAAAATGTACAAATGCAATCAAAAGTTGTTCTTTTACTCTGATGAAAGTTTGGCATTGCAGCTTCTGTTTTGTGATAAAGAGAAATACTGTGAAAGTGTAAAGTGTTCTCCTGTCATTGTATTGTAAGCATTATGTGCTTCTTTTTTTTTTGTTTATCATGATTGATTAAGTGTTTGTTCAAAATGTTGAATTTGCTCTAACTCCAACAGCCACATGTCCAAGACCTGTGCAGATGACCACATCCCACTTTTCCCTGTGTTTTTTCTATGTTATAATGACACTGACACTGTCTAAGATGTTCTACTGTCAAAGACAAAACACTTTTTTCCTGGACAATGGATGGGTGGTTTGGGCAATTTCAACTGTACTTTTTTAGTGCAGTGGTACTACAGCAGACCCCACTTACAATAAGTTCTAACAGTATCGGTTACAACAAGATTCAGCTATAGCAGGCTTAAAATAAATCACCAAGCCTGATCTCTTATATATAGTAAAAAAGTTAGTTTATAGCAGGCATTCGGAATAGGCATACTCGGCTATAACATTGGTCCAACTTCTGACAAAATCTGACAACAAATGGACCAAAAAGCAAATGAAGCAAAACGACATTCATGGCAAATTTGTACCTGCATGACACACAAGAGTCCTAAGTTGATAATGATGTGTCAGTCCATGTATGCAGAGGAGGAGGAGGAGGACGGGGAAAGCTGGATGTACTTTGGTGTTAATTCAGATTTTCCAGACTCTCAAGTGCCTTAGCATGACCTCAGTCTGGCGTCACATTGTCTCCCTGTGAGATGGTGAGACTTGTAAAATGAACATGACTGAATGAAAAGTAGGCATTGAACGCTTGATCTACTACAGATCTCTGTGTGTTTCTTTTCCCAGCTGTGGTAACTATTTGATTACACATAATTTTAAAGCGCTTAGAGCATGCTGTTGAGCATGGTGTGCGCTATATAAATGCAATTATTATTTTAATTAGGTTATGTCCAGTGCATCTCAAATGATATCTAGTCAACCTCCATGAGACTGAAGTACTAGAATAAGAAAGATCAAGATGAAGAGCAAATTATATCAGAAGGGAAAAAAAGAAGAAATAGGCCTAACTGATATACTGGTACAGGTAGGGGGTAATCTAAATTATAAATTTGTAAATTATTAGTTACATGGTTTGTAAATGTGATCCCCAGCTATGACAGCGACATCACACTAGTCCTGGTGTCCCTATTATAGCTGGGGCCCCTCTGTATTTTTCTATGACAATATATAAAAATCGGAATATTGGATGGGACCAGATCTATTATGACAACCTGACAATTCATTTTGTTTTGTTTAACTTTAACTATCAACCTGGACTGCTTCTCTGTGAGACCAGTCTTGTTTTGAGATAGGCAGTTTAAATGGTTTCATTTTCTCTGCATTTCCTGGCTTTACTCTGAATGTTTGATTTTGTTAACGTAATTTTTGGAACATGGATATTATTTGCTAAAACTATTCTTTGAAAAGCCTTATATTGTTTTCTTTTATAAAGATGTTTCTATATATATAATTTAAATAAACTCACGTACCCTTTAAGATAGTTTTAAATGCATTTCTCTTTTTTGTGTGGCTGAATGAAGAATGGCAGTCAACGGTGTCTAAATAAACTTTTATGTCGGATGCGCATGCATACTGAATCATGCATCTATTGTTCTTCTTTGATCTACCACATCAGTGTAATTTTTGTGTACTGCAGGTAAATGTATGGGAAAGGAAAAGGGTCGTGAGAGAACAGGTAATTCCCTTCAGAAAGAGATGATTTTTGTTCACATGTAGGAGCATGCTCGGTTATGTTCAGAAACAGGCTGAGAGCCAAAGTACCAGCAGTGCCTTCTTAACTTCTAAATGAAATACATGTTTCAGCATAGCAACATCTTTTAATTTTCGTAAAGGATCAGATGGCTCTAGGACTGTAATCTTCATTATTATTATAATTGTTGTTTTAGTGATTGATTTGTTTCAAATGGTTTGCTGCATGGGATACGTTTTACCTCTGGGGATAGCTGACTAAGAATCACAGGGTCAATCTCCCACATATATAAATGTTAGGTTCAGAAGGAACAGTTCTTTCAACACTTAGTTGCCGACATGTGTTATTTGTTTAGAAACATTTGCGACATGACATGCACTTTTTTTATGAGGGCACTCTGGGCACAGAATCAAGGTGTTTGCCTCTTATTCAACAGGTCCTGGGTTCGAATCCAGATAGCGATGGAAATTTTTCAACTCTAAAGCTGTCTCCTTTACTTTCTTTTCTTTTCTCTAGCAATGTTCTGTCGTCTGCTTTCGTCTCGACTTTCTGCCCCC